GTGTGTGTGTGTGTGTGTGTGTGTGTGTGTGTGTGTGTGTGTGTAGCTCTGGGCCATACTGTCCTTTACAATCACTCCACACTCTTTCTTTTCACAGCCTCGCCCTCCCTCTGTGGCTGACAATAGCTGTGAATGTGGCTGTGAATGCTTTCGAAGTGCCCTTGTCAGATTGGCGTCCTTGAGCGAGGGTACGCTTGTTACTGCCACTTTGTTAATTTCAAACTTGCCTCCATGTCCCCTTAAGGGACGCGGCAGCAAAACTAAATTATGGCTGCATAGTTTTGATGGAGACATCGACGCTGTGTGTGTGCTGTTGTCTATGTGTGTGTGTGTAGTAATTAAGACACTGTACAGCTGCTGGCACATCTGTGTTGAACAAACAGAAACACGATTTCCTGAACTAAAATTTCATCTAGAGCAACAGGAGTCTCTGGGATAAACTTTTAGGTTAAGCAGCTTCATTTATGTTGTAACCATCAGTGAAGTGTAACCGTGTATTAATGCTGTGTGTAAGCAGCGTTGCAGGTTTTAATCATATGTATGGTCCTCACTATGGACACCCACATGTGCAGAATATTTAATGTTTGTGTAAACTCTTCTGATTTTAAGTGTATTTGGATGTGTTTAGATGAACAAACAGTGGTACCACATCATGGAGCAAATATCCATAGGTGTCCAGTTTTACACATGTCATTGTAACATTGTGGCACTTTAGTGCTTATTTTCTGACTGCTGTATTCAAATCCTGACATTTCAGTTCATAATGGAGTAAACAAACAATTAACAGCTGTAACGTGTCTCACTCTTTTTAACCGTTCAACAATTAGTTAATCTTGTCAAGCAAAAGTCAGATAAATAAAAAGGGATTTACAGATTTTCTGACAATGTTTTTTTTTGTAACTGTGTTCATTATTCCCATTTGAACAAACATAAAATAAATGCTTAAGACACTTCTTTAATAATTTCACATAAAATAAACAAACATCCAACTGTTATCTATAAATAAGAACATAAAATCACAAATAATACTGTCAGTGTAAAAAAAATGAAAACCGCAAACATCGATAATCAAAACAACCCATCAACATCTCTCACTAATAAATAATGTTTCTGGACCCAGATTGGGGAATCTAAACATGATCAGCTTTTTTTTCTAAATGAAACTAAAGATTGTAACAAGGAGAAAGACGGTCACTGTAAACAACAGAAGAACAACAATAGGGCCAACAATAATCTGTAAGTCACCATCAACCATTTCTTTTCCAAAATAATGCAGTAAACAGTAAGTCCACAACAAAGTAAAACACAATCTCACACTGGCCTTTCAAGTTTCAGCCTGTAGTAATCACAACAATCAGACAGCACATCTGTATTTCTCAGTCATGTATAAAATAAAAACAATTGGCATAGTATTCAGTAACACTATAATGAAGGCCGTGTGTCATTTACAATTAAAGGCCTATTACTGCTAATAACATATTAACTTTCTAGGCACAGTTATGAGATGAGGAAGTGATAGATAAACATTTCAGAACTGGTTTGGAAACAGCTAAACAAATCTGCTACAGTTGATATACTTTTATTTTTCACAATCACTACATTAAAAACAGTTGGCAATAAATACTAATGCTCACATAATATTCATAATAATTTTTAAAAAGTTGAGTAAGTCTCTTGGAGGCGAGACGAAACGTTTTTTCAACAAAGAACAACCTGTCCAGAGGACCTACTAAACCTTTTTTAGATTTTCTACCTGGATTATTGAGATGCGTTAAAACATTCATAATATTGATCTGTTTCATGAAATATATACTGTATAATTACCAGATCCAGATGAATGTAAGCTACGGTGTAAATATCCTGCAAGTTTTTACGTCACAAGTGTCACAACTGTAGCAGACAGTGTCCATATGAAACATCAATAACCCTGCATCTACAGAAGTCAGGACAGCTGGGCTCTAAGAAGAGTCAAACACATGAGGACTAGAATAAAATGACACCAAAGAGTGTCTGTGTTTCAGTGTCCCGGGTAAAAACCTGCTCTGCAAGGTGACAGGGGTACCTGAGTCCCATCCTAGAGCTGAGTGTCGATGAACACGGCATGCTCTTTCTTCACAGAACTTAAGGTCTTGATGGCGTCCACAAACTCATCTTCCTCCACGTACTTAAAAAAAAAAAAACATACAAGCTTTTGCAATGACTTAGACCAAGCATGACAACAAAAAGACTTTTCCACTGCATACACTCTGACTGAAGTTTAACACATTTGCAAATACTGACAATGTAGTAAAGCTTGGACTGTTGAATAAACACATATTGGACATTTTATGTCTAAATCAGAGACATTACATAAAAAACAGACACCACTGACATGTAAATTGTCCTGCTAAAGTATCAAGTTCAGTATTTGAAGTGCTTTTAAGAACTGACTAGATTTAAAAGCAAAACTGTATAAAGAAAGAGATAAAAACCCAGTAGGGCCAAAATATGCACCTTAAAGGTTGAATGTCTGATTACTTGTCTCTAGCACATTATTTGATAACTACGCATTTTTGCTAATCTTATAAACTGTCTAAACCTAGTTTTAGAGTCCAAACCTTTCCCCTTTTAGCCACATTCAGTTCGATTTCATCCTGAGTGCCTCAACAAGAACTCACACACCTGAATGTGAGACTCTATAGGATAGAACCGAACCAACTTAAAGGATAGGAAGAGCGAGTCCAGAATTTCTAAATACTGTAGCTTGTTAATATTTTTAGATTTTTAACAGATAAATAAGAACTGATAAAAGATGCATACTGTCTGACTGATGTAATGCTAAGATTGTTTTAGGTGGAAAATGGAGCCAAACATTACATCTGCACATCAAGTTTAACAAATAAACATTGGTCCATCCTCACCAGTCCAGAATCATGTCCCATTGGGTTGTCCCAGCATCCTTCCTCCATCATTAGTGACTTCCTGTCGATCAGCTGGCTGACGCTGCGGTGCAGGGAATGCTGGGAGTAGGCCTCACTGAGGTCTGTGGGATTGGGAGCCCGCAGGACAGACATGGGGCTGAAGTGGGAGCTGCCGCCAACCTTTGTGTCTGTCAGACCCTGGGAAGTATGGTTTTAGGTTAAGAGTTACCAGATGTTTAAAATCATTTTGTACAAATACCTTTATTACTGCCAGGTGTTACCATGTAAACTCCATGTTCCATGTAAACACGATCTAAAGTAACTCATTACATTAGCTCTTGACATTGAACAATAGGAAAAAAGCTAATTTTGTCAGATTGATATGGAAGTTTTGTTATATTTATTTTCTTTGAACGATCCAGCAGAGAGCAGTGATCTGCAAAGATTAGCCTTCAGCTATGTAGTGGAGTTAGGAATAAATAATCTGAATCATTCCTTCATTCTTCTGGCTAAAATTTTGTTAGAATAATGTGTACAATTTATCAGCTATATACAGGTCCTTCTCAAAAAATTAGCATATTGTGATAAAGTTCATTATTTTCTGTAATGTACTGATAAACATTAAACTTTCATATATTTTAGATTCATTGCACACCAACTGAAGTAGTT